TTTATTGTTTTTACTTCCTGGTTCTAATGAGTTTTTATTGTTTTTACTTCCTGGTTCTAATGAGTTTTTATTGTTTTTACTTCCTGGTTCTAATGTGTATTTATTGTTTTTACTTCCTGGTTCTAATGAGTTTTTTATTTTTTTACTTCCTGGTTCTAATGAGTTTTTTTTATTTTTTTATTTCCTGGTTCTAATGAGTTTTTATTGTTTTAACTTCCTGGTTCTAATGAGTTTTTATTGTTTTTACTTCCTGGTTCTAATAAATATTTATTGTTTTTACTTCCTGGTTCTAATGAGTATTTAATGTTTTTATTTCCTGGTATCAACACGTTTTATTGTTTTACTTCTTGGTTCTAATGAATATTTATTGTTTTTACTTCCTGGTTCTAATGAGTTTTTATTTTTTTACTTCCTGGATCTAATGAGTATTTATTGTTTTTACTTCTAAAGAGTATTTAATGTTTTTATTTCCTGGTATCAACACGTTTTATTGTTTTTACTTCTTGGTTCTAATATGTTTTTATTTTCTGGTCCTAACACATTTTTAATGTTTGTATTTCCTAGTTCTAATGAGTATTTATTGTTTTTACTTCCTGGTTGTAACATGTTGTTGTTGTTGTTTACGTATATTTACCTCGGTGGGACCGTGCAGAGGAAGCGGGTCGATGCTGTACTCGCCCTGAATCGGGTCCATGGTGTTCAGCTCCACGTTGAAGAGGAAGAAGACGAACCCGTACAGAGCCGGACCCAGACCGTTACAGAGGCCCCGGATCCCGGTGATCATCCCCTGAACGACACCTGCAGGAGGAGAGACGAGACGGGTCAGGACTAAAATCCAGACTCGGGTCCAGTCCGGTTCTTCCTCGGCTCTGGATTCATTTATTACCTTTTCAGACAATAAAGTGAAACCCTTTGATCTGAGCAGGGAGAGTTTGTCTTTTGTCACCTTGTTTGTCAGAATCAGCCGACTGAGACACCAGAGCAGAGACTGCTGGGAAGGTGATGGAGGACATCGCTGCCACGGCGCCGGCCGCCCACATCATCCTGTAACACACACACACACACACACACACACACACACACACA